TTACAAGAGTTTAGAGATGAAGTTGAAATATTATTATTATTTTTATTATTATATTATAATTATCGTACAAATGTGCTTATTCAAATAAAAAAAAAAACACTGTTTGGTAAGACAAGTCGAGAGACTAGCGAACATCCAACAGTAACTTCAGAAATAGATACCTTATCTTTGGCGCTTAGTCTTTCTGATGCGAGCGTTCCATACAAACTTCCGGCCGTATCGACCTGTTTGGCGTAACTCGAGTCTGCGTAGGCGTGGAAACAACATCTTACCTAAAAAAATGTCTCGTAGTTAGGTTTGCCGAAAACAAGTTTTAAAATTCCAGGTTCTAAAAGCGATTTGAAAAATTTTCAGGCAGTACGAGAAACTGACTTACTACGAGACTTTCCATTAAGTCTTTGTCTAAAGCAATTTCACACACGTAATGGAGAAATCACGTAAAATTGCTCCATACGTATTACATTTGCTTTTTCATATTTTGTAGTTAGAGTGAGAAGTTCGTTTACCAAAAATGAAAGCAATGATTTCCTTGATGTTTGGGTGAAACACTAAGAATAACGTAGCGAATGGAAACGCCCTTACCAATGCGTTAGCAGCCACTTCCCTCTTACAAATGAATGCGTGACATTCCAGGACTTTGATACCAGTGGTCCTCCTCAAAATAGCGGCGAACAATGGAGGATGGGTGGGGTTGGGCGTTCTCGCGAATGGCGAATCGAGAGGCAAGAATCGGGGCGATGGCGCGTTGAGGGTGCTTTTTTCCGGGACTAGAACATATCTGAAAAAATCGATTTCATTCAGTGGGAAATTTTCGAGCTTCACCTATAGTCGAAGTTGAAAAAATCTCTGCTTTAAGTATTTCTTGTTTTTTTTTTAATTGCAACGGTACAATTCGTGATTAAATAAGAAATTAAATAGGCTATTTATAACACCAAAGTTGACGATGATTTTTTTTTTCAAAGAAACTTCCACATTTTACTGTAATACTTTTTATAAAACTTCTGGATTCCTCCTGCGACGGTTTTTGTTGACTCGAATCGGCTAACGTTTCGCCAATCATCCTGAAGGGGGCGCAGCTAAGTGAGGGGCATAAACATCGTTTCGAATAACTGATTGTTGATTGTTTCGTGATTGTGTTCGGCAACTGCTAATGAAATTATTTGTCTTAGTCTTAAGGCTCTTTCATGTTCTTTGAGCTTAGTTGATATTTTTCGTCCGGTCTCTCCAATATATTCTTTGCCACATATGCATGGTATGCTGTAAACTTCTGGCTTCTCAGATGGAAATTTGTCTTTGACGGATCGAAGATGTTGAGAAATTTTTCGACAAGTGGTAAATCTAGGATTGCTTTCGACCTCAGGACCGACGCAGGAGGAATCCAGAGGTTTTATTAAAAGTATCTAAAATAAACTGCTCCCATGACCATAGCCAGTAATTAAACCATAAGCAATAATTTACGGATTCCAGGCATTATTTAGTGTACCACATTTTTTTTAAAAATACATCAGTGGCGTGCGAACCGAATTTCATCTGTGTATTTCGGTACGTCACTGATTTCTCTTAAAATAAAATCAATGCTCATTTTACATCTTAGTTTTTTCAATCCTATTTTCGCTTAATAAAATAAAAACATCTTCTCCGCATGGTCAGAACAATATCGTTAAAACTAATCAAGTCATTGTTTATGTGTTTCATTAAAATGCTTTAAATAGTCAAAATACGAATACGCAGAAGAAATTGAAAATAATCTGAATATCTCGCAAGTCTTGGTTTGGAAAATTTTCCACGATTTTTTATTGCACCCATATCACATTCTAAGAGTTCAAACGTGACTTCTCTTGTGTCAATGATTTTTGTACTCTTGTTACTTTCGAAAATCGATGAAATCGACTTTTTTGAAAGTATCTACTCTCGTATAAAAATTTTATATCTCGGTAACGGTAAGTCATATGCGATCGTTGTTGGTACAGAAACGATCATCGTCAAAAAAATATATATATATTTTTGTCTATTTGTCCGTTCTCCGTTCTTTGTTATCGCCTTTTGCTTTTTCTTGAATAACTTTCGAACCATTGGAGCTACAAAATTAAAATTTGTCTCCTTTTTAACTCTCCACGAGGCACATAAGCTTATGGGAAATGGCCCTGATCCGACAGTGGCATCCATCTTTATTCGCGACTTTCGTCTTTTTTTTTTGGTCATTGCTATGAAACACGATAAGTGTCCGAAATTTAAAGCAGTCGACTTCATATTTGGCATATGTATGCAGCTTTGTCCCGTGACAGTACTTATTGAAAATGGGGGGGGGGGGGGCTAGGGGGTCGGGAAGTATTCTAAAAAAATAAAAAATCGCGCGTGCAAGGGCCTACAAAAAACATAATTTTTCAAAAACTGTTTACGAGACCAAAAAAAATCTTTAACCAGAAGAAGCATAAAATACGGCTCTATAAACTTCTATTATTGACAATTGTTGAAAAATATTCAAGGAAACTGGAAAATGGGTCCCCCTATTATTGAAAATTGGTTATAACTGAAAGACTATGCTCGAGATCTCACTTTCTTTTATATTGCGATATAATCCGCCTAGACAGCAAAAACTTTTGTATTTAAGGTTTTCATCTATTATACAGGGTGTTTTCGATATTCCTTGCTAACTGAGAAATGTGTTAACAGTCCTAAATTTGCAGATATCAACTTCAAATTTAGCAGAGAAGTAAAAGTCCGCCTCCACATTTAAACGGTAGAAATTGTGCGCAATCAAATTTTACCAAGTATTTTTTAAAAATGTTTGAAATCTTTTTTTGGTCATTTTAGCCTCCAGAAAAATGTGTTCTTTAACCGGCAGACGCAGAAGATTCAGTGCAATAAAATTTATTTTGGGCATTTTTTCGATTATATACAGGGTTTTCAAATTATGGGAAAAAATCTAAAAGACCTAGAAAATTGTTCAGAATAAATTATTAGCCGCAAATCAAAAGTCGTAAGTCGTATAGCTAATTGGTTAAAACAGTGTCATAGGCCGCATCAAGACCTAGAATTTTTGTATTTGCGGTTTTCGTCTATCACATACGCTGCTCGGGATATTCATATCCATATTGAAATCGCTATTTCGGGGGCTGTCAAGACGCGATGATTATTAGGGCGCACTGCATGGTTTCAGAAAAAAAAATTTCTCGGAAAAAAACCATTAACTATTTTCAAAAAATTCTTGGGCCAGGAAACGTGGAAGATCCAGGGCTATAATCTCTACTTCGTACATTGTTTTAATCATATACAGGGTGTGCCGTTTATGGGCAAAAAATATAAAAGTTCCTAAAAATTTCCGTTTTTGTGGGTAAATTATTGGCGATAAATGAAAAACCGCTAAAGATGGGATAATTTTATTTGAACAGTATCGTAAACTATGTCGAGAGGTGGTTTCAGGTTTTATTAATTATACAGGGCGCGAGATATTTGAAAAAATATCCTTTCCTTTTATAATAAAAAGCTGTTTCGCATTAGGCGCTACAAACTTGCCCAGCCCAGAGACGATTTTTCGAAAGCATTCTTGTTTAACCAGCACATACTATTTACAGATGAAGATGACTTTTCCAGAAATGTAATCAGAATTTTCCACAATAACCATAGTTGTGCCCACCATACTCTTATAGAATTTAAACATCAGGAATAGTTTTCGGTATATATTTGGGTTGGAATTGTTGTAAATGGGATAAAATGTACTCGTATAATGATCAATAGGTTATTATATATGGAAGGGTATAATATTGGTTTGGAAAAAGTCGAATTACTTTTTTTTGGCTAATCCGGTTTCGACGAAATTGGTTTAGTTTTAAAAAGTATTTATAGGAGCTTCGACTGGCCCGTCAATATCAAGATATTCATTCTTTTACTGCTATTTTTGTGAAAAAGAGCCTAAAAAAACACAGCAAGTAGTGGAAACGGCGTGGCAATATATTTTTTTCCTTTGAAATAAATGAAAAATAATTTAAAATTACTTTTTTATGTAGGTATAATAGGAGCATTATTAGAGATAACCAAGGGATGACATATTATGACGGGATGATAATTTATAGCAAAAGTTTGATACTACTTTTATTTTATTTTATATGTAAAACATAATTTGTTTTAGAAATAATTAGGTTAGAAAAAATTGATGTCTGTACTGGGCTGCATAATAATTGAAAACCGCTCTAGTTTATGATTTCTAACTGAACTGTATAAACTTATTTTAATTCAAGCAAAACCTGTCATTAAACAAAATCTAACAATAAAGAAAACCTAACACTAAACAAAACCCAACTACACACATAACAAAATCATAAATACCCTTTATAACTAAACTAAGCAAAACCCGTTATTTCTATTTTACAGTAGAGGTTACGCCCCCTAGCGGCCATTTTATGAACCTGAAAATAATTTCCAGTTTTCGGAGTTGATTTGCAGGAGGCCAACCCTAGTCGCCTAGAAATCGTGGTGGAAGCCGGGCCTTAGGGTTGCCAATTAGAAAGCAAGCTGTGGCCCTGTGACCCGAAAATAGGTTAACATTTCGCCCGTAGTTAAACAACAGATGTGCTAAAAGAGTACAATAGCTACGATACCAAAAGAAACCCTCAAAACTAATGGAGTTCAAGTGCCGGATGCCACAAAATGACGATATTAAATAAACTTGAAACATCGCGATCGGGTATAATTTGTACTTTGTGGCCATCGAAGCGCTAGTTACCGAGAGGAAATATGTAATTGACGTGCGATTTGAGGAACAGAATAACACCGCTTGCTTCCCATGATATTCAATAGACCTGAAAAGGTCTGTTATGTTACGAAGGTCACCTGCAATCTCAGTATAATACGACCAAAAATATAAATGCACTATTGCTTAGACGTTTTAAGTATTTTAATGTACCTTTACCGCAGACCTTTGCAGGATGGTGGTAAAACCCATCGCTACAGATGTTTATTCTGCGTGATAATTTGCAGAAACCAGAAATTTTTATTTGAAACGTAAATGGACCGTTTTAAATTTGATTAATGATTGATGCTGCCTGGTATTTTCGAACAAGTAGCCTTCAGTAAGTACGTATTTATGTACCTGATTATCGAGCTTTGACCCAGCGAGGCTGTTTTCACTGGATGGTGTGATAACAATAACAAGGGTGTACTAGATGTGCCGACTTCACACGGAAAACGCATAATAATTTTTCATGCTGGGTCCAAAAATGATTGGATGGAAGATGCCTTATATTTGTCTGCCAAAAACGTCAAAGATTCTATCTAACTAACCAAAACTATCGTCAAATACTGTTATTGTTTTAGATAATGCCCCGTATCATTGAGCCCAAATTGGAAATATCTCAAATACTTCTTCAAATAAAGGAGAAATTAAAGAATTTCTCAACAAATTTTTCAACTTTTAGAATTACTAAAATTAAAACATTTTATTAAAGATTACAAAATCAATTCGATAGCACAACAAAACAGACATAAAATATTGACATTATTAAACAAAATTTAGTAATATAATAATATATATATATATATATATATATATATATATATATATATATATATATATATATATATATATATATATATATATATATATATATATATATATGAGTGTTCGAAGTGTTTTCGGAGCGCGAGCATTGAAGATGCCAAGTGAGATTTTGGCGAAACGTCTGCAGGATTCCAGTCGGAGTTCAACGAGCGAACGGATGATATCCCGGAGTTTAGTGTCATCATATATATATATATATATATATATATATATATATATAT